TATAATTAAATAATACATATATGTTTAAATACATTACATTAGCAAAAAACAAAAGGCTAAAAGAAAAAATGTGCAATGCCATTGTCATTTGAATATGCCATTTAGTTTTTCCTCCGTTTGCTTTAATGACGGCACATGGATATACAGTGTTAATTATATGATTAACTTAATTTTACATCAAAAGTTTTCTGTTTTTATATTTTCAAACTATTGAAACCTTTTCTTTTTTTTCCCCCTTAGGTATCAATTGAATCTCGGACTTTGGAATATACACTTGTATAATTTTACTACAAGTAACTTCTCATAAAAAAATATTTAAAAACCTTGCCAACTCCAAACTTTTGCACAGTTGTGTACTGTATTTCTATTATAACGTGTGTGTATTAATGTGGTTTACACGGTTGAAGCTGCTGAATAGTGATGATCTGTTAATATGTAAATGTGGGCGGTCATATGTTAATGAGCTCATGATGAGATGTTATTAATCGTAGGAGGAGTGCAGGAATGAATGGCTCAGCGCTGCTCTGGTGTGAGAAGTGTGCGGTGAGTCTGTGTGATTGTGTGGGATGTGAGGGCATCGGCGCTGGACTCGCGGGGTTAAAGGTCTCTCTGCGTCTCCTCTGATTTACCAGCCTCTTTTTTCTCATCTAGTTCATCTGCCCTCAGAAAATGTGTTTGTCACACACTTCAGAGTGGCAGCAGAGATCACACACGGCAGCAAGCGTGGCTTTGTGTTTCACTGCTTTGAAACTCAGTGCTGCTTTGTACCATGTTTTGTGTTGCGTCATGAAAGTGTGTTTTCAGAGTTGTTAAGTGCGCTAGTTAGGTAAGTTTAGTTTGTGCACTTTTGGGACTGGAATACTTGTTTCTGCTACAGAATGCAAAATAAAAAAAGGTAATTACGACTTTTTATCTTACAATTCTGACCTTTTTTTCTGACAATTTTGTGTTTATATCTCCTAATTCTGACCTTTTTTAACAATTTTGTTTATATCTAACAATTCTGACTTTTATTCTTGCAATGCTGACTTTTTTTCCTCACTATTTTTAGTTTACATCTCACAATGCTGACTTTTTTTCTCACAAAAAACTGACTTTGTTCTTATAATTTTTTGTTGATATTTCACACTTTTTTTCTTGCAAAAAAACCCAAACAAATCTGACTTTTTGACATATAAAAATCAGAGTTGCAAAATGAAAAGTCTAAATTCTCAGAAAGTCACAATTAACTTTTTTTTCATCCTGTGGCAGAAATACTAGCATACTACTAAATAACCTACCTACTAACCAACTAAATACTACTTGATATATATTTTTTTTAATTTATATGAGCTATTTTTTTATATTATGTACATTTTTTTGTGATTTTTACTTTCATAGTATTTTAATAGCATAAATTTGGACTTCTTGTTAATATTAGTAGATTTTCACTACTTATTTTCCATATTTACACTGCTTAAACTAAAATGTATGATTTATGTTTGTTTTAGTTTATATAAAATGTATTTAGTGGTAAACTAAAAGTAAGGAAAAAAACATTTGTGTTACTTGCAATAAATAAACATTAAAATAAATGAAATAAAATAAACTGAAATAAAGTAAAATATTAAACAATTTAATTCAGCTCATTGCAAAGGCAACATTTTTTGTTTAGTTTTTAAACAAAATTGATAAAAAAAATTAATTAAAACTATAAAAATGACACAAATACACAGTATAATAGTGGAGGATATAAGAAATAAAACCTAATTCAAAATATTGATTAAACGCTATAATAGTCTCAGTGATGCTGAAATAACATTGATTGATTTGAATTAAAAGCAAACTGACTGAGCACTGATTCCACTCACCCTGAATCAGCTCTAGACGCTCTGAGCTTTAATTGGGACCTGTGGATTGTTCAGGATCTCTCTGTATAGCTGTAATTCGCTCTCATTTATGGCGGCTGACGGCTCTCGCCTCATTAAGACTCCAGGAAAGATCTCCAGCAACAACAGCCAAGACAAACACGAAATAAGCCCGACCAGAGGAGACGACGGAGAAAATCAAGTGCATTTATCTTCCTCCTGCGTTCAGAGATTCCATTCGCTTTATCTGTTTAATACAGATTCTTATTTTTTGTTCTTTTTTTACGCAGAAGTCCAGTGAAACTGTGCCTTAGACTACAGTGATCCATATCTTAAAATTAGATCTTGTGTGTGAATATACAGTGTATGTGTGTATACACAAACACACACACACACACAAACACACAACACACACCCCTCTCAATGGTTTTTATCCCTTTAAAGCCTAATGTGAAATAATAGAAAGAACGAAAAATCTGCAAAGTCACATTTTTTGAAATGGAACTGTTTATTTAGCCTTTAGACAAAACATTAGAGAAAAGTTTGCTTGTGTGTTTTTTGCTGAGTGTCATATTGGATACAACAGGCTTTTATGGTTCATATGGTATGATATATAAGAAGAAAATAGGGAGAAAGAAAACCCTCAGTTTTATTCAGAGGCTCAAACTGAGCAAAAATATACCATTTGTTGCATGTATAAAAGTTATTCTTACATTTACTTTATAAAAATCAGTAAAGATTTCACAGCAAAAAGATGCGAAGCATGAGCTGAAGGTGCATGTTTGTACAATTATAATATAAAAGGCTTTTTACTTACTAAAAAAAGTCTAAACTATCAGTCAGACGAGAGAAGGCATGCCGTTTTGATCATGTTGATCATTTAGAGGCTTTAGAAATGCATCAGATATGATACCGCAGGCTTTATAGAGTTGACTATAGCGCACCGCTTGCAGCTTGACAAACAGCATTGAGCAGAAAGTGTTTATGTGAAGACGCGTCTGAGCGCTGTTAACATTAGTAACCTGTCAGGAAAATCAAAGCTCTCAGTCAAAACATTGTAAGGAGGCTGATTTCCCTTTTTTCCGCGCTGTGGAAAGTCCCAGTGGCCTCTGGTCCTCGGAGCGGCTTCTACAACACAGAGTCTGTTCATTAGGAATGATCAAGCGTGTCTGTAATCATCCGTGAGATGTGATCGTTGTTTTCCTGGCCTATTTAAAGTGTGGGGCGGCCAAATTCCCCGATCGGCCCATCAGAGGCGCATATAAAAATGCCTCATCACTCGTCTCAGACATGCACTGCATTGTTGGGATTGAACATACGGCCAGAGCTGGCCAGATTACTTACAAATTGTAGTTTGTTACTGATTACAAATTGCCTGATGAAAATTGTAGTCAGTAATGTAATCTAGATTACTTATTTTAGGTACTTCTTTTGGATTACTTTTAGATTACTTTTGACCAAACTTGTTTGTTTAATTGGGATTATTGTTAAAAATAGAAACAGAGAGATATGTGTTGTTAAATATTAACTTTAAATCTCAGGAAGATTGGGAATCCCTGTATCACATAAACGAACAATAATAAACATGAAAAAAGCAGTGACATGTTCAAAGTCCATGTTTTTTGTTTTTTTTTCAGCTGTACATCGGCAGTTTTTAGCAACATGCATAATTGTTCATCTCATACATGGTATAATTTGACTGAGAGGTGTTTTGTCCCCAAATTCAGATGCATGGGTTGCAAATTAATTTACGTGACATTTATATGGCTATTATATATTGTGAATACTCACTGTATTCAATGCAACACAGAATAATTTTTTTAAAAGGAAAATTTAAAAGAGGAAAAAAAGAGGAATCAATAAATTTGTAATGCTGGGCAACGATTAATCACGATTAATCGCATCCAAAATAACAGTTTTTGTTTACATAATATATGTGTGTGTACTGTAAATATTTATTATGTATATATAAATACACACACATGCATGTGTATATTTAAGAAAAATATGTTATGTTTATATATTAAATATATTTATATATAATATAAATTATATGAATATAAAAATATACATGTAAATATTTTCAAAATATATACTGTATGTATGCGTCTTTATATATGCATAATAAATATAACAATACACACACATAATACACACACATATCATATAAACAAAAACTTTTATTTTTGATGCGATTAATCGCAATTAATCATTGCCCAGCACTATAAATTTGTAATCATGTAATACTTAAAAAGTAATTGTAATCTGATTACAAGCATTTTAAAATGTAATAGAATTTAATTACAAGTACAACATTTTTGGAATCTGGTTACGAACTCCAGATTACATGTAATCAGTTGCTAGCCAGCACATATGCGAAGGCCGCATGGGTTTAATGTATGCTTTCATTTGCATGTGTGTTTGCAGGGTAATCAGGAGGCCAGCAATCCGGCGGATGCGATGGCCCAGACTTACACCCCGCAGTTCGCGCATCCCCCGCAGAACGGCATCCCCGCCGAGTTCACCGCGCTTCCCACGCAAGACTACGCAGGACAGAACCGTGTCCCGGATCACGGCCTGACGCTCTACACACCTGCACAGACCCACAGCGATCTGGCCAACGCCGACAGCAACATGCCAGCCATCAGCAGCAGCAGCAACACAGCACCGGTGCGTCAAACACACTAACTGTGTCGCTCGTCAACACATCATATACAGTCAAGCTACTCTTCGGACTGCAATATGTCTTTCTCAGTATTTTTTTATTGTTTTTCAATACAAGTATCTGAACATTCCTTAATCAAGATGAATTCACTTGAGAAGCAAAGTTAGTGAGGTCTTGTTTTCTGAAAACTTGTTAGGTACCAATTGATCGCAGTGATAATTTCAAGATATGGAATTTCATTTCAGGAGAGTATATATTGTTATATATGACCATGATTTGACATATTTGACAATGATTTTCAATCATTGTTTATAAGTAATGTAGTTAGCTTTTTTTAACCCTGTAAAGCCTGAAGAATAAAAATAATAGTCATATAATAACTATAATAATAGTCATAGTAATAATAGTCAAATTATATATATATATATATTATTATTATTATTTATTTTATTTTTTTTAATGGAACA